TACTCTAATAAGGAGATATACCCAACACACCTCTACAATTAGTTGGGCACAATAATTTTTATTATATCAATTTATGATGAGATTACATATTTTATAGTTGATGTTACAGAATTTTATGATCAAATTACACGTTTTGTAGCAAGGTACATCTGGTATGATCTTTTCCCCTTTCCTATACTCTCCTGGGCTAGATACATGTATAACTGTTTCTCGATCTATTAAAAACACAAAACTCTAGGATAATATTACAATGCACACCTTTTAAAAAGGATGTACTATGGTCAAGTTTGGGAACACTAAATAAGTGTATTTTTTAACTTTTCTTGTATTATGTGTAGAAAAAGTAGAGAGGAGATATTGATTGATGTAACCCAAAAAAGATAAAAATATGAAATAAGTGCACTTTTTTAATTTAGCCAAACTTGACCTATATGTGAGTGATCATACTTTGTGGTGACCTAATTGATCAAAACCAAACATCTCTTAAACAAAATTAAAGACTTCTCGGTTATAACCAAAATTAAAACTACAATATACCGTAACTAAATTATAATTAACACCACTTTAGGTATAACTAAAGATCTATTCGGTTATAACTAAAATAATAATCACAATATGTCATAATTAAATCATAATCAACATTACAATAAGTCTTACAATAGACAATAACCAAAGGCCACAAAAGTCAGAACTGAGACATATGGTAAACACTTCTTTCAATAAAAATCTATTAAAAGATTACATAATACAAAACACATTCAATGGGATTTACAATTGTTTACCTAGGTGTACCTAACTCTGATGACTTGTAGTTAATCCACGAGCAAAACTTAACTCAATCAACCTTCTTGATCTTATGAATATCACGAAACAACACTTTCAATCTCTGTTTTGAAACAATTTCGGTTACCCACCGACCTTGGGTGTAGAATAAGCAATGCAAAGTTATGCAAGATTTTATGAAATTTTGAAAATCAACTCATAAAAATTCTCACTATGATTGTAATAAATTCTCAAAATTTTCTATAATTTTCAAAAAATTTGGTTTTGAGAAACAATGGTTGGGATACTAAATGGGTAAGAGAGTGAAACTTTCAATCTCGATGTGTTGAGCTGGCTGAGTATGACAAATTACAAAACTGCCCTTATACACTAACAAATTCTAACACTATTACAAAATGATTTTGTCTACAAAAATTTTCAAAATCAAAGTATTCTACTACAAAGTCGAACCTGTAAGTCATCCCACAACTAACTTTGTGAGAGGGCGTGATACATGACCAGCCAACCCCATTTTACAATTGAATTGCCTCTTTTGCTTAGGTACCATATCAATTGCCAATGTGATTTCCCTTTGTCACTTTCCAACAAAGAACCTTCAGAATCCATTTGCACCATGACAAAGTGCAACCTTTTCCTTAAAAAAAAATGATATGGCTTTTACAATCAATAAGTTATTAGTTGGTCTTGGGATATCGGTACGTAGTGTCTCAACGGTGTTATGATTGGTGGAAGTGTGAGACCCATAAATTTGTATTAGGTGGTTGGGAAATATGAGGGACATGATGAATTATGATTGGTGTGAGGTATGATCACATTACCCTCCAAGACCAACCAATAATTTTTCATTACAATCACTCTCTCGCAATTCTTAAAAAACATGATATGGCTTTGACAAGTACTCCTATGTGCCAACAAGGATACGGAAAACCAGTGTAAATGTAATACCAAGCTATAGTTTCCCATTATTTTAGAATATAAGAACATCGCCTTTAGTTATTTTATTTTGAGAAGGAAATTTTTTTCACAAAATTAATTTCTTACAAAAAAAATCATTTTGAATGATAAGACAATATTATTTTTGAAATTATGAGTCACAATATTAAATGTTTTGATTTGAAATGAAAATGTAATGGGAAGCCACATCATTTGGTACTAAAGTTTCAATTTACACAACTATACTGATGAAATAATACTAAATTTTCCTAAGGTAGACTGTAACTCTCTAGATTTTCATGACTTGAGTGGTTTTTTTAAATTCGGAGTCAATTTGAACTTGAGATTTGGATGAGATTGGTCTTCAGTCGCCCGACAATAGTTCAATTATAAATAGATATCTAAAGATATCAAAATATAAGTTTAGAGAACATAACAAAACAAAAGAAAATATGCTATTGTGCTGGGGATCAATTAATCTTTAGTCCTTATACGTTCACTCGATAGTAGTGGAAGAGCTTTTGGCGTATATTAATCAAACTTCGATGGTTTACAAAGATGAAGCTTTGATGGATTTTAAAACATTGGTAGATCAAAAGGGGCGGGGATCTGCAATTGTATAAACTTCAAAGGGGGTCAATATAATTTACCCTTCAAATAAAGATTGATTAATGTGAATATTTCACAACTATTGATCATCAAATGTAGATCTCATTCTTATGAAGTACAGACGATTTAAACCGACCGGTATGAAGGGAAAAAAAAAAGGTTCAAATTAATTGTTTGTTACAAATTAAATGATCTACTTATAGTATATTTTAATTTTAGAATTTATGTTAAATTATTCGTTTCAGCTTATGATTACAGTTTATTACGTATAAATAACTTAAAGAGAGGAATGTTTATAACTTTTACTTTCTAATTATTAATTTTAATTTACAATAACTTGCACTAAACAAGAATCATATAAAAATGATAAAGGAACTTTAATGTCAAATGCTGCATCCTCCATCATCTTATGAAAATATTTTCATATAAAACATATTCCACCATTATTTATAAAATTTTACAATACCACCATATATTTGTATTGTATCGGTATTTGTACTTTTTAAAAAATTATTGTTATTTTAAATTACTATAAACTGATCTAAACTATTCATTCATTTGGAACTCACTTTGTGACACTGGTGGTGCCGAATAATTTTTCATTCACAAGTACTACTGGAGCACTTGTACTCTGCTGCAGAACCTGCATGCCCCTCATGAAAATTTTATTGTATAGCCCCTCTTTATTACACTACTTAAAAACACAGCTTGTTATGACCATTGATTTCCTTACATCAAAAAATATGAAAAATTATTGAGTATAATGGTAAGACTAACCTATATGATCTGAATGACTAATAAAAACTCACAAACAAGATTGACAATACAATATTATGGTTTCTACAACTAAGCAAGATTGCTTTATTGAATAATAATACTAATATATAGGGTTGGTTTGAGATGCTGGTTGATCTTTTGACTTTTTAATTATTTTAGTCTGTGATTAAGAAGTCTCGTTTGGAATAAACTTTTTTGACTTTTATAAGAGAAAAAATGAAATGATTATGGATTGAGTGTGATGTTTTGTCTTATTGACTAAAAAACGTATTTTGTGTTTTGTGATTAAAATAGTCCAAAAGTCAAAAAAACTTGACATGCCAAACGAAAGCATAATATCATCGTTATATCTACTACTTAGACCTACATATCTTTTTACAATTGCTATACTTTCGTAGAGAAAAGAACCAAGTTGCTAATGCATCCCATGACTCCAAATATATTTAAAACCTCTTATTCACATTTTCGGCCGCAAAAATCCTAAGAGCATTGCCAGATTCCCAAATTCTATTCTCTCAAACTCTCACAATGATGTGGTTAACAATTTTAAGAGAAAAAAGAAGAATTTAAAAAGAATTGATTGGTTAATAAAATAACGCCATGTCATTAGAAGAGTTTGGGGAAAGAGAAATTAAGGGATGAAGCATTTTTAAAATTCTAATTCAACAGTAGATGGGGCCAAGCCAAATGCCTCAAATGTCCCCCCACTCATACTGTATTTGCCTGCCAAAAACATCACAAGAAAAGACAATCCCACAAGTCCATTATTAATTTTCCACTTTAATCATCACAAAAAAATGGGGTCTACCCTCCAATAATGTAAAAGTGCTTTTTAACCTGCATAAAAACAACAACAATAATATATATACACCTAGGGATGACATTTTAAAGCCAGTGTCAAATGAAATACCATAAGTAGACCAAATTCTTAACGAAAATGTGCCAACCTCCCAAGAATAAGAAAAAGACACAAATTTATGCATATTAAGGGCCAACCACAACATGAAGAAGCATTTTTAGTGACGTTTTTTTTTGTCACTAAAAGTGTAATTTTCATAGCTAAAATATCAGTGTCGCAAAAAAAAAAAAAAAGAATTGCCAAAGCCATGTTGCTAAATGATTCAACGACTAAATGAATTGTGGTCACCTTATAAATAAATTAGCAACCAAATATTTTAGTCGCCAAATACCAAAATATTCGTTGCTGTAAATTAACATTTAGTTGCTAAAAGTAACCTTAATCAGATGATATGGTAGGTTTTAGCGACATATAAATACATCACCAAAGTATCTTTCAGCAATGAAACAAATTAGTTACTAAAATATCAAATCTTTTGACAACCAATCAAGTCTTTGGTTGGTATCAATGAAAACAAGTATCACCAAACGTAAATTCACAATTGAAAATTTTGTCACCAAAAATTCATTATTTATTATTATTATTTTTTCAATTTCCTTGTTCAATACATAATTCATAAACCTATAAAAAATAATCTAAACCCAAACTTACCTTTGTGCATCAATTCTACACCTACATGCAATCAAAACAAATTAACACACTTGTGCAAAGCATCCAAAATACAAACTTAATTCAAAAGTAACAAGCATATTAAACATAACTAAAATATCAAATCCAAAACATCCAGAAAAAGTACAAATCCCTTATACTCCGAAACTTCAAACATGTCACAATGAATTCCAAAATAAACTTTCAAGCTTGTAAATTCATAAGAAAATCCTATGAGAAAATATATTCAAAAATTCAAAATGTAATCCTCTAATGTTCCCTGAACTATGTTCCATCCATTGCCAATCTCTCAAACATATGAAAAAAAAAATTACAGTGTTAAAATGTTAGTAATAAAACGTTTGGTCGCAAAACTATGATATATTGAAGTATTTCTACATAAAGTCGCCAAATTTAGCTCTGATTTTATAACCGAGACTTCAATAGGTTTGGTTTGTTTCTATAAGTTTATATAGACTTTAGTAAAATGCTTGTGCTGATTTTTAGTTGGTTTGATGGCTATTTTATAATCTCAGCTCCAAACAAGCTATAATTAAGCCTTAGGTTTTGCAAATTTTTGAACATTCTAATGAAGTCCAATTGAAGGGATGCAGTAAGACACCAACTACCAAACAAACCAGAGAATAGAACAACAAAAAAACCAGAAAACAACAATAAAAAACCTACTTAAAGGGCAGCACCAAGCATTCCATCAGATGTATACCAGACAACTTGCAAACCATTAGCATCACTAATAATCCACTCATAAGAAATCTAGTTCTGCACTCAAATCAGGTCAGTGAAATGTATGTTCAGACCAAGCGTTATGCACAACGCAATAAAATCTATAAATCCAAAGTAGATTAATTAGCATCCTGCAAATGAACAATCCCAATATTTTACATGCAAAAAACGTAAATACTCTAGAAAACAACATTAACTATCTTTCAATATTCTATTGAGTACAATTAGAAGGAAATTCAAGTGTTATGGGAAATCCAGATTTAGCATCAATAATAACATAGTAGAATAGTTAATACTAGTGTTATCGGAAATCAAATTTATCATTAAGGCAATAGAAACCTTGATTTCAGATGTGGATGCCACTTCAACATATGACATGGACTCCAAAAGCCTAAAGAATGATGGAAATTTCCAAACTCCAACTCATTTAGCTATGCTACAAACTGTAATGAAATTAACATTACTCTAGAAGTAGATTCAAACCGAAAAACAAGAAAAAACGAAGGTAGAGAAGAAACAAAGAAAGAACTTGTGTGAGAGAGAGAGAGAGAGTACCTTGAATGATGGAGTAATAACAACATTATTCATCCTAATCTTTGGTTGATCACAAGTGTCATCAGCAAGTGCAATGCAGATTGTATCTTTTCTTTTCTTACCCTAAACACCAAAGGGTAAATCATAAGACGTATTGTTAGAACCCACAAAGAAGTCCATGAACCATTAGACAGCCAGAATAAAACAAAAAAAAAAAGAGTGAAAACTCCCACATACATTTGAGTGCAAACACACAACATCAAAAGCAATTAACAATTGCCGAAACCAAATACTTAAATTCAATATATTTTTTCATTTACAAAATGAATCTTTTTTCTTTCTCATGGATTAAAACCATATATATGGACCGTTAAATTTCACATCAGTTTCAATGCTCTACTGGGAAATTAGTTATGGCAAAGTGAAATGAAAGGACAGATGCAGAACATTAAATTTTCAACTTCCTATTGATAAATCTAAAAATTCCCTAGATATTGTGTTAAAACCTATCACCTACTTCACCCACTTAAACCTACTCCACTAAACCTAACCCACTACACCACTACCACCTCACCTACTCCACTAAACCTAACCCACTACACCATTACCACCTCCACTTCACCTACTCCTTACCTACTACACACTCACCCTCTTCTATATATAGGAATCATGAATCATTGTAATAAATATAACATTATATTTATACATCAATCAATAATACATCAATTCTAACATGGTATCAGAGCAAGGTTAAGAACTTAGTGATTCCGCTTCACCGGCGGGCGGCAGCCTCGCCTTGGCCGTCCGCCGGACAAACCCAAATTTTCTAATTCTCTCTCTCCTTCCTCCATACTTTTCACCCACATACCAGTGCACAAAAGCCCTCTTCACATACATCAGATCAAACTTATGATCACTCCTCGAGAACACCTCAGCAACACTTGTGGAGTTGGAGATCAAACAGCAAGCCATGTACTGGCCCTCGTTGAATCTGTTTGGCTAAATCATGATTTGTTCAAGCCTCAGGTCAGAGGTTCGAGGGCTGGTAGAGAGAGAGAGAGAGAGAGAGAGAGAGAAATGGGAAGCCTCATCTTCATCATAGCTCTCTTGCTGTCTATGAGCTCCGCCGTGTTCTCGTGCCTACCGTCGGATCGAGCAGCCTTGATGGCCTTGAGAGCTGTCCTACACGAACCCCACCACTTGGGCATATTCAACTCCTGGAATGGCACCGACTGTTGCCACAACTGGTTCGGCGTGAGCTGCGACCCCACCACACGGCGAGTTTTTTGGTCTGACAATCGGTTTTCCGGCACGTTCGCCGGCCGGAGCCCTTGCTACTTCAACACCGGAGTGATGGCACAGGTTCAAGTTCAGCCTCAAGCTGTGAATGCTGCTGGAAACCAGTTCGTGACGACGTCGCTATATCTCGGTGACCTCGAGCCGAACGTGACCGATTCGCAGCTCTATGATCTGTTTAACCAGCTCGGTCAAGTTGTCTCTGTTCGAGTTTGCAGGGACTTGATTACTCGCCGATCGCTTGGTTATGGTTATGTTAATTATGCGAACTCGCAAGATGCTCTAAGGGCTTTGGAGGTGCTGAACTTCCCTCCTCTGAATGGAACGCCCATTAGGGTAATGTATTCTCATCGTGACCCTAGTATGCGGTCTGGAGCACGTGTGATAAGCCGATCTACTTTTTCTTTTATTTATTTATTTTTATTTTTTCTGGTCTTTATCCCATATCCTCCTGTTCCTCACCCTCTATTTTTTTATTCTCTTTATTCCCACTGTTTCACCCACCAAGTACTCCACTCAAATGGGTAGTATGATGAAAGGAGGAGACACAGCACATGGAGGGGACACACACCGCAGAGGCGGTGAACAAAATAGACATCTCTCACTTTCTTTAAACTCACTTTTATTTTATTATCTACTCAACATACCCATCCTTCTTTTCCCCACTACAAAATATTATACTAGCCTTCATGGATTCTACTGGCTTCCACCACTTCATTTTATTTATTATTATTATTTTCAAAAAAAAAAAAAAAAAACAAAACTACATTCATTCCAGTTGATTTTTCTGCATTACCACACCTACCATTCGAGTTTGCCAAACACACTTGCTTTATTCATATCAGGGATTCACCCCGCTCACCATTCTACACCAAAAAATAAAAAATAAAAAATAAAAAATAAAAAACCACAAACAAACAGAAACAAAACAACCACACCCACAGTGGGATTTTTCTTTTCCCTTCTCTACTCTACTGCAGGTCTCTTCTTCTTACTTTTATCTTGGGTGTCCCGTGCCAATCCTGCCTCCGTGTTTCCCGCTCCACTGGGCACGATCACAACTCCCTGCTCCTCCACTACAGCATACGGCGGCCCTCCAAATCGGAACATCACAGTGGCCTTCCGCTTCAGCTCCTTATTTTCCGCCTTTAGCACACTTATCTCTGCTCGCGCATCCTTATATACTCCACTAAACCTAACCCACTACACCACTACCATCTCACCTACTCCACTAAACCTAACCCACTACACCACTACCATCTCACCTACTCCACTAAACCTAACCCACTACACCACTACCATCTCACCTACTCCACTAAACCTAACCCACTACACCACTACCATCTCACCTACTCCACTAAACCTAACCCACTACACCACTACCATCTCACCTACTCCACTAAACCTAACCCACTACACCACTACCATCTCACCTACTCCACTAAACCTAACCCACTACACCACTACCATCTCACCTACTCCACTAAACCTAACCCACTACACCACTACCATCTCACCTACTCCACTAAACCTAACCCACTACACCACTACCATCTCACCTACTCCACTAAACCTAACCCACTACACCACTACCATCTCACCTACTCCACTAAACCTAACCCACTACACCACTACCATCTCACCTACTCCACTAAACCTAACCCACTACACCACTACCATCTCACCTACTCCACTAAACCTAACCCACTACACCACTACCATCTCACCTACTCCACTAAACCTAACCCACTACACCACTACCATCTCACCTACTCCACTAAACCTAACCCACTACACCACTACCATCTCACCTACTCCACTAAACCTAACCCACTACACCACTACCATCTCACCTACTCCACTAAACCTAACCCACTACACCACTACCATCTCACCTACTCCACTAAACCTAACCCACTACACCACTACCATCTCACCTACTCCACTAAACCTAACCCACTACACCACTACCATCTCACCTACTCCACTAAACCTAACCCACTACACCACTACCATCTCACCTACTCCACTAAACCTAACCCACTACACCACTACCATCTCACCTACTCCACTAAACCTAACCCACTACACCACTACCATCTCACCTACTCCACTAAACCTAACCCACTACACCACTACCATCTCACCTACTCCACTAAACCTAACCCACTACACCACTACCATCTCACCTACTCCACTAAACCTAACCCACTACACCACTACCATCTCACCTACTCCACTAAACCTAACCCACTACACCACTACCATCTCACCTACTCCACTAAACCTAACCCACTACACCACTACCATCTCACCTACTCCACTAAACCTAACCCACTACACCACTACCACCTCCACTTCACCTACTCCTTACCTACTACACACTCACCCTCTTCTATATATAGGAATCATGAATCATTGTAATAAATATAACATTATATTTATACATCAATCAATAATACATCAATTCTAACATTTGTGATTATGTATCAATTTTAAGCAGTAGATAACAATCCCAATCAAACAATCAAGACAAATCGACACAACAATTTTAACGTGAAAAAACCACAATGGGGGTGTCTCCAATTGTGATAAAAAAAAAAAAAAACCACGGGCCAAAGCCACAAAACAATCCATTAAGAAGACAAAAGGAATTACACAAGTGTACTCTCAATTACCTAGTGAATCCACGTCCGAATTGAACCGACCCCTATATGCCTCTCCCACCACAGTCTTCACCTCAGAATTGTCTTGCACAGCGTTGAATCCACAATGTTGATGTCGAATCACAATGATGAGCCACTCCAGAATCCACCAAAGCTTCAGGGTCGAATCCCCCAAAATCCATTGAAGAACAACTCTCTCTTTTGTATAGAATAAATAAACAATCCTTTGATGTATACTTCTTAAACCATGAGTTGAATACTCAATCAAACATCAAAGAAAACTAGCAAAATAGCCCCAGATATAAATCCTAATATCCAAGAAGAAGATCTGGAAGCGTAACTCTAAAATCTGACTGAAACACATATTTATGGCAATCTGTTCCATGATCTTTACTCAAACGCTGGAATGGCTGCTCGAGCGGACTGACGCTCGAGCGTAGGAAATTTCGCTCGAGCAGCAAAAAACATGTCATAGTATTTTTGCAGGCGATCAAACTTCTTGAACCAAAGATTCTCCGCTCGAGCGCACAAACGGCCGCTCGAGCGGATAGGCAACTTTGAATGCATTTTTGCATTTTGCTTCGAGGGCGCTACCCGTCATAGTTAGCGAAGTGGCAATCATGAAAGAATTAGCACCACAAACTTCTCTGCAAGGCACAATTCGAGTTGGATTCGCATCTAAAAACTCATAATCTCACTAAAATAAAGGTGCGAAAACAAGTACAACTGAAAGGAATTTTGTCAAACAGGATTGCTAAGAATAAAAACCCACCTACGTATATTGTTACACTAAAAATTTCCAAAATCAATTGTGTGGAGGAGGGAGATGTGCACAGACTATATGATTTTCTGCCAGATATACCAAATGTTAATAATGGTGTGGAGGATTATTGCAAATGGCCAGCCCACTCATCAGGATCTTTTAGTGTAGCTTTAGTGTGGAAATGGAGGGAGCTAACTAGAGGTCTCATCCTTAGAATTTCAAACTGTCTGTGGCTCAATGCTGCGCCTCCAAGAGTGCAATTTTTTGGATAGTTAGCTTGGAACGGGATTAAAACCTTTATTTTTATTTTTTTTTTGTGTGTGTGTGTGTGTGTGTATGTGTGTGTGTAGAGGATTGGTCTACTGAATAATTCTGCATGCTATCACTTTGTGTCATTTCTGCAGAATAGAGGAGGAATCAGTGAATCATATTTTGCTATTTTGCCAGTTGGTTTGGAAAATTTGGTTTGATGTAATCAATTGGTAGGGATTGAAGTGGGCTATTCCTAACTCCATTGAGAATCTACTGCTGTGGTGATTAGATGTTAAGTATAAGAAATTAGTTCTGAGTATTTGGAGATTGTCCCTCTAGCTGTAATGTGGTCTATTTGGAAGCTCATAAATGAGTGCTTGTTTAATGAAGGCCAGCCTGATTTTGAGGAGCTAAAAGAATTGGTGAGAGTAAGAGTAGCTTTATGGGCTATGTTCAATTCAAAAGAGTGAGCATAGATTGGGTTAACATATTAAGTTTCTTGTGCTGCTTGCTGCTAGTTTACTGTTGTTGCTATCATTATTGTTCTAGGTGCCTCTTGGGGCTTGCCTTGGTTGTGTTGTTAGTCTTGTTGGTCCCTCACCAACTTCTTGGCTAGAGCTAGCAGATGATAAGGTGCTTTTCTTGATGCCAATCTAGTTAGGATTAAGGAAATCATTGTGATGCTTGTTGCTCTTTGCCGATGCTTTATTGATGTAATTCCATATTTAGTGTATGTTCATATCATCAATGAAGTTCGTTTCTTTTGCCGATAAAATAAATAAATAAATAAAAAGTTCTAGAATCAATGTAGAATATTGGGAAAAGAAATGGGATGTCAACAAGCAAAATGGGTCAATTATTGCATTGAGTTTCAATTTCCCAAGAGAATAACTCTTTCCTTGTGAACTAATAGCACAAATTACACTAGTACAAGGTAACATCCATGTTTTACTGACACAAAAAGAAAGCAATCTCATGATAGATTCATGTTTTATTGTCATTTTCAAGAATCTGGTAAATAATGGTATGCTTGAGAGTGGAGTTATCATTGACATTCTAAAAGCTTCTAATATTTTGTACCTGAATCAGTTGATGTGTTGTTGATGGAGTGATACTGCCCTCTACAGATGAAAATAGAGAAGTAAGTATGATTCTATGAATAGTTAATTTGCATATAGAACTGAAAACAGGCTGTTAAACAAATGAAAAATGAAATCCCACAACACCAAAAATCAAAAAAGAAAAGATTAGGACAGAGTGGTTGTACCACCTATAAAAATGTAACTATTCATCGAATCTTGGATAACAGTAGTTTGTGGATTACAATATTAAATATGGCCAGAAAATAAACACTTAACTTAGAAAATAAACGTCAATTTCAATGCTCCCTTGCCAGATTTTGGACTATGAAACAACAATATGATTTTAAACTATTACAATTGCAAAAATAAAATAGATAAAAAAAAAATTAAACAAAGCAAGCAGAATATGATATTATGCAACACCTTAGGGTCAACTTTCCAAGTTTGTCTAATTTCTGGGAGGTATTGAATCTGCATTGTCTTCATTTCAAAGGAAAAAGAAGGGTTATTTCAAAGTGTTGCCTTCAACAAAAAAGGAAAAAGAAGGGTATTGGGTCAACAAAAAAGGGTTATTTCAAAGTGTTGCCTTCATTTTTTTTGGTTCTTCTGTTTAAATTTCACCTTTGCATTATATTATTTTAAAGAGACTCTTCAAATGCCATTTAAAAAAAATAAATAAATAAGGGCGAATTACACTAATAGTCCCTATAGTTTGGGGCTCATGTCACTTTGCTCTTGACTTTTCAATTGTGATACATTTGATACTGAATTTTGAATCTTGTTCCAAATAAAGACAATTGAAGATGTCATTGCTCAATTTGAAGGGCAAAATTGTCAATTTGATAAAATATAAACTAATTTGACAAAAACAAATGTCAAAAAAATATTTTTAAATTTTAAAAAATTATTTCTACTCACTAAAAATAAAATTATGTAAAATTAATAATTTTTTTACACATTTATGTTTTTTTAGCCAATTAATATTTATTATGTGTTTAGATGATAATCATCCAATGAAGAAAACTATAGAAAAGTAGAAAATGCAGAAGAAAGTTACCTTGAAGAAAAATACTAAGGAAGAAACCAAATGAAGAAGCTCCAATTCAAACAATTTGTAAACAGAAGTGTAAATTTCAAACCCACAATACCTCATTATAACAACTATAAATGAATGTCTGTAAAAACGAAAATTAGAAAAAAAAAATGCCCGGGGAATATAATAATTGATTTTTAGAAACCAAAATAATCAATTTCACAATTACATGTTAGGGTTTTTAGAAAAAGAAGGGAAAGGGGATACTTGACCAAAGAGAGAATGCGTTTCTCGAAGGTGATGAGCTAGGACTTGGAATCAATCAAACAAGCGTTCTCCTGTACAATAGAAAAAACCTAATGAGTAATTCCTTCACTATGCAATAGAGATTGTTACAGATGATGGTAAGCAACAATGAAGAGCTGCAGTAGGAGAGGAGAAGAATAACCTAGCAGGTAGATGTCCAGATTTAGCCAATCCTTCGTGAATTTGTTAACAGCGAAGAGCTGCAACAACTTCCTCACAACTTACAGTGCCTTCAACATTGATGCTCTACAAATTTGAGCTCTTGCCGATGGGATATGAGTGATTCTTAGTTGCACGAAGATAGGAGATGGAGATGAAGAAAGAGAGTGAGAGAGTGAGAGAGTTGAGCGTGAAAATGAGATAGAGGAAAAAAGAAAAATCAGTGGCGCCAAAGATTTGATGAAATTTGGGCTTCATTCAAAACGATGCAGTGTTAACAAATAAATTATTGAGGGACTTACGGACCGGTCCCATGGACCGGTCTTAATATTGGTCAAGTCTTGCCCCATCTCTGTTTCCAATATTACCTTTCATTATCACACCACACGCATGAAGCAAAGAAGCCGATCATGAGTTCTCTCCTGCGAGCGTGAAACACACGCACCTTTTCAAGGGTTTTGTTGCACACAAACGCGTGAAGATTTGGAAACCGATTCTCAGGCGATTTCCGATTTGGAAATTGGAACAAACGAAGAGATTTTCGGCGAAATCTCCGCCGTTTTGATCGTGATTCCAAAGAAATCGCCAACTGTTTTCATACCAATTCCAAATAGATCTCCAGCAAATCTCCCACCGATTCGATCTATATTTCAATTTTGATTCCTAAGCTCCTTGTTTAGTTCATCTTCAACAAAAATGCCAGTCAAACGTCAGTCGTACTCATTTTTCCTTCTTCTTTCGTAACCCTAATAAGTGATAAAATTCGACTTCAAGCTATTTTCAATGTGTATTATACAGTATTAATTTATCAGTGATATTCAACTTCATAAACATATCTTCATGTTCATTTGCTATACAATGATGAATTTGCTTACTTTGGTTAATTCAGTGATAAAATTTGCTATACAATGATAGATTTGCTTACTTTGCCTAATTCAGTGATAAAATTTTGTATAACAATGATAGATTTGCTTAATTTGCCTAATTAAGAGATAAATTTTGCTATACAATGACGAATTTGCTTACTTTGCCTAATTTAGTGATAAAATTTGTTATAACAATGATAGATTTGCTTAATTTTTCTAATTAAGTGATAAAATTTGTTATAATGATGGATTTGCTTACTTTGCCTAATTCAGTGATAAAATTTGCTTACTTTGCCTCATTGAGTAATAAATTTTACTTAGTTTGCCTAATTGAATGATAAATCTTCATTGCATCTTATTTTGTGGTAGGAAATTATTTGGCCATTTTTGTTTATGCTTGTAAAAACTTGAATGATTAAAAATAATGTTTATGCTTGTAAACAAAACATTATAAAAAATAATAAAAATTTTACTTAAATTGAAAATTAAAACACAAACACTGTTACATTTTTCAAATTGGAAATTAAAACACTGTTACAGTTTGTAGATATTTTCAAGTTTGGGAATAAATTTATCACTGGCTTAAACTGTTACATCTAAACATGACAAGGCTAAAGCATTTCCTAGATTGAAATGATGAACAATTTAAAGTGAAAATGAATTCCAAACGCAAAATATTTTGCTTCAAGAATCCCACTTATAGTTAATGGCATAGTGGCAGTTATGTAGCACAGATTGGGAAAGCTAGCCTCAAGCTGCCTGCAATTGATTTGTGTTAGGTTTAAGACAATGTTAAATTTATCACTGTATTTGGTTGGATATGACAGTGATAAATTTATCAACCACTGATATAAATGTAACAAACCATCAACTCTTCCCATACAGTCAGTGATAAATTTATCATTCTTGAAAATAACAAAATCCAGCAACCTCATTAATGCTTGATTGCTTCATTCAGACAGTGATAAATTTATCACTCTTTAAAAATAAAAAATAAAAAAAATCCACCAACTCATCCTAACCAACTAGTGATAAATTTACCACTATAGAAATAACCAAAAATAGCAACTACATTTAACCAAAATCAAAGAATATAAATCTGTGAAACTTAATCTTGTAAAAATATCAGCAAAAAATATAATTTCCATTCAAAAATTCCTTAATCATACAATGCAACTACTGAAATGATGTATCTTTCTAAAAATACTCAATCATTCAATGCAACTAACTCCTCTCAACCCTCAAAAAAGTAATTCAATTAAAATCAATGCAACTAAACCAAAGCTTGTTTACATGTCTTTTGATTATGAGTTTCCATCTTTCCACACCTACTGTACCTAATTCTCTTGATTTTTCCCTCAGAATTTATTTTTTCTGTTCATGGACGTCCAACTGGTCTCTTACAAAGAGGAGGTAAAACAATGTCATCATCAACAACTACATTTGGCTTCTACATACAAGGAACTGAATAGATAGAATGCGAATACGAATCACAATAACTATAAACATGGTAGTAATCATCAAGAAAACAATTCAAATCCTTCACACTCCTCTTTATAGCACAAAAACCATGTTTGCAAGGAAAAGAATCAATCTCCCACAATCAACAAGAACAAGAATGTTTCCCAATATCAACCATAATTGAATTATCCAATTGGATTTCATAAATGTCATCGCTACATTTCTTAACTATCCATGCCTTCATATCATTAAAAGCTTCTTTGAACTTTTTCTCTGTAAAAGGACAAACAATACGATTTCACTTATTCTCAACTTCTCTCATATTTGAAAATTGCTCCATTAGTTTCACTTGTATAGCATCAACAAGACTAATTGAAAACAAATGACGTTCATCCCTAATCTATGAATTAAAAGATTCTGCAGCATTTGTGCACATTTCACGATACCTCTTGCCTTGAAAATAAACGTTACACTAACACTCATTAGGCAAATCCTCAAGAAACTTCTGAACACTACGACCACAATGACCCTTAAATTTTTCAAATAGCTCATTAAACAACTTAATAGTAGGAGTATATGCACATCTACTAAAAAGAGTAAGCAAATACACTTTAGATTCACAACTCTTCACTAAAAAGAATGAGAAGAAAATAGAAATACCTCAGATAAAGCTCTCAGCAAACCTCCATGTCAATCGGTCACAAACGCAATATCCCTCCCTAGAGTCAAAATAACAAATAACTTTGACAAGAATCAATGCCAACTATCGTAACTTTCACTATCAACAATGGCAAAACATAACAAATATAAACCTACAAACAAAATATATACACTTTATCAGTAACAAATAAAAAAGATTACAAAACAAAAGCAAATCGTAAAGTATATAACATATAGCACCAACCATAGATAAATTTAGCACTGATTAACTACAAAAATTCAAAAGCAACACACAACATATAGAATCAATCAACAATAAATTTATCAGTGTATAAATATAAAAATTTAACAAAAGTATATAACATACTCAACCAACCAATGATAAATTTATCACTAATAGATTAATCATACTAAATAATCAACACTCTCCAATAACAAAAATAGTAAAATTATTACTGTTTTAAAAATAATAACAAATAGACACAAAATATATCTTAGTTACCATCTTTTGCCGTAGCAGCCAATAAACAACCTATGTCTTCCTATCAAGAAAGTTCTATCAAGTATCAACACAAGCCGACAATACTTGAAATCATGAATACATGCCTCAAAAGCGAAAAAACAACCTTTCGAAATGTCTTCCTTTACTATCAACATCAAATTCCATATCATAAACACTCCCCGGATTAGCATCATCAGCGCTATTAACATACCAGCGAAGATCGTCAAATGATAATAAATAATCACCAAAAACAACACCCCTTACTTTTTCAGCACCCATCCAAGCTCGCCGATAAGAAACTTTTATTCCATAATAGTCTTTTGCATTTTTTTTTAATTTTTTTACGAATTTGAATTGGCTATATGCTATATATTTTGCATTTTTTTTAATTTTTTTTATGAATTTGAATTGGCTATGTCACAGTTGACTAGCTCTCTAACATCCAAAAATGGTCGGTATGTCTTAGTTTGACCATCTTGAAAGGCATTTGTTGGAACTTGAAATATTGGTTTCAACACGGCCCTTACCAACTGTAGTATTACAGTGTTTACATCCTCATGTTATATTGAGGGTACTATTCTCATCTTCTAGATTTTATGATGAGTTAAATTAGCATTCCTATCTACACAATTAGACCACATAAAAATATCAAAAAAACCATAAGCCTATCGGTCTCATCCCTATGTAAATATTTTGAGTATTTTTCTTTGATTTTATTTTAATTTTTACTTTTTGTTTTCTCTCACACTAAAACTATGTTGAGGATTACTCAACAATTAACACTACCAAAAGACCAAGAGAATGGAACAGTGAATAAAGGTTACACTTATTAGCCATGGTAACTATCTTACCATTACATTATACAACTTTTTCATCTTCTATTCCCATACTCACTGATAAATTTATCACTGTTGAAAAAAATTATTCCAACACCCCCCTTCAAAATACTCATTGATAAATTTATCATTGTAGAAAATAACAAACCAGTAACTGTGTTCAACCAAAACAATTTTGTAACCATAAAAAAATATAAAAAAATCTAATATTCATTACATATACATATATCAAAACTTTCAATATCATGATCAAAATACAAATTCAATCGCAAAAACAACATCATAACAACAATATCACAAACAAAATCAAAATCACCAACTTAAACTACAAAACACCAAAACATCGAAATTGAAATCAAAATCAAACATACCAGTCGAGTTTCCTCTACAAAATCGCAAATCACAAAATCTAAATATACACCAAACGTAAAATCGCAAATCGCAATTTGGAAATTGCGAAGATTCACAAAATTACAAAAGCAAATCACAAACCGAGCTCCCTCCACAAGATCGCAAATTACAAAATCTAAATATACACTAAACGCAAAATCACAAATCATGAAGCTCCACAAAAATACATTAACAAATCGCAAAGTTCCACAAAATCCAAATCACAAACCCAAACCCAAACCCAAACTTACATCATAGTATTTTGATGACAAAAAGCAAATAGAAAACATGGCAAAAATAGGGGAAAACAAAATAGGGGTAAAACGGTACAAAAAATAGAGCTCCAGGACCTATTGGTGCATAAGACCAATCTTCCGAACTAAGAGGGGAATAACTATAAAAAGCAGGACAAGCCAGTAAAAATCCCTAAATTATTAGCAACCAAAGTAATTAGGTGGTCATAAATGTAGCCCATGTTTTTTGCGACTAAATAATTGTCGTCGCCAAAAAATTATATTTGGTGACTAAAATTTTAGT